GCTAAAAACAGCAAAATGCTAGCTAAAAAGCAACATGCTGGCTTAAAACAGCAAAGTGCTAGCTGAAAAGGAAAAATGCTAGCTAAAAAACAAAAGGCTAGCTGAAAACAGCAAGATGCTAGCTAAAAAAACAGTAAAATACTAGCTAAAAACAGCAAAAAAAGGTACCTGTGAGGTTAATTTTAGGGTGAATGATCAGGGTTAGGATATAAAATTTTCAAAACATTAATGGAAGTCAATGCACGGTCCCCACAGGGATGTAAAAGCCAGACGTGACTGTGTGTGACTAGTTCTTTAGTTTAGCTTCACAAGTGTTCAGTTTAAAATAAGTTCAGACAGACAGTGTTTATGTGCAGCCTCACCTGGGGGAAGTGGGCGGGGCTCAACGCAGGTTATCAATAAAAACCTTTGATTCGTCAGTTTGCTCAGACTAATCAGCTCAAAGTTCAGGAAGGTCTGAGAGACTGAAGTGATTGTTTGTTGTTCCAGCTGTGCTGCAGCAGGAAGTAGAAACTTATTTCACCTCAGTTTGAATAAAATTATTAAAATAAAAACATCCTCAGTGGAAACGAACAAAAAGTCTAAATAAATAAAAAGCCTAAAGTGGATCAAACATCCTTTTTTATTCATTCTGCAGGTGTTTATATTTAAAGATTTGTACGTGAGGAAACACTCGACAGGAACTGAAGAGTTAAAGGCATCATTTTAATGTAAAGTTTAAAAATATTAAAAACTAAAAATGTTTCAGTTTCTCTGACAGGAGGATCAGGTTTATTCATACAAACATTTTTATTTATTTATAACAGGAATCTTTTCTTCTGTTTGAACCTTTTGTTCAGGAACACGTGCTTTGACCTTTACTTTTTAACTTTTGTACTTCTGGTTTATTTAGTTTAATTTGCAAAATTTTAACAAATCCATAATTATGATTTTAGATATTATAAATGATTTAACTTTTCTCTCTGTGCTTCAACATGCTGTTTTGGTCAAGATCATTTTTACATTTTAGCTACTGTTAATTTTAGCATTTGGGTACTACTGTGCTAATATTAGCTTTTAGCTATTGCTGCACTCATTTTTTACTTTTGACTACGATATGTTGAAGCTTTTACTGAATAATTAGCTATTTTAAGCTTTTAGCTATTGTTTTGCATAGTTAGGTGTTTAGCTATTTAGCTCATTTTTGCTTTTAGCTACTTTTTTTACTAATTTTAACACTTAGCTACTTTTATTATTTTAGCTTCTTTTGCCTTGTTAATTTTAGCTTTTAGTTACTGTTTAATTTCAGTTCTTTGCTCATGTTAGCTTTTAGCTACCTTTTAAATTTTACCTTTTTCCAACCGACTTGTTAATTTTAGCTTCTACTGTTTGACGCTTCAGTACTATTTTGCACATTTTAGTTTTTTAGCTAAAACTTTGCTTGAAATAAACACTTCGTAATTTTACCTATTGTTTTGCTTAGTTAGACTTTTAGCTACTGTTTTGCTAATTGTAGCTTTTAGCTACTTTTTTGCTCGTTTTAGTTACTTTTATTAGTTTAATTTTTAACAACTGTCTTGTTAATTTTAGCTTCTTGTCTGACTGATTTGATCATTTTAGCTTTTAGATGTTTTTTTTCTAATTTTACTGTTTCACAGATTTTTATGTATTTGCTCATGTTAGCATTTAGCTATAATGTAGCTGTAGACATCCAGTGATTTTATATTTTGTTCAATCTAATCATTGTGTTATTATATTCTATCTATTTTACATAAATGTATACATTTCATATCTATTTTACATTTTCTTAGTCTTTTATTTTGAAAGGCTCCACCGGATGTGGATGAGTGTAGGATGGGAAGTTGACGCTCTCAGCTGGCTCCAGAGCTCCTGTACTGCAAAGTTTGTCCCGGTCCGGACGGACTTCCTCACTGACGTCCTCCGCTCTAGACCTGGTCCGCTCCGGTCCGGTCCGGTCCCGGTCCCGGTCTCCCAGCCATGGCCTCCATCACCTGCCGGGTCCAGTACCTGGAGGACTCGGACCCGTTTATCTGCACGAACTTCCCGGAGCCTCGGAGACCTCCGACGGTGAACGTGGAGGAGAACCTGCCGCTCTGCGAGCAGATCTCCGGGATCCACAAGCTGCTGGAGGCGCCGCTCAAGGTGGGTCACAGACCGGGTTCGGAACCGGACCAGGACCGGGTTTAAGAACTTTATCTCCCGGGTTAAAATAATAATAAATTTTATAAAAGGTTCACAGAAACCCAGAGACTGACAGGTTTAGGTTTGAGTGATTTAACACAACCAAGGTGGACATCAGATGACCTCATAATGAGTCTGTGAAAGGTCAAAGGTCATTCCCAAACACAGTGAAGCGTTCAATCATAGGAGTGGACTCACCCCAAAGGTCAGACTGTGCAGTGCTCAGAGAAATATGCAGCGTTTCAGACTCTGCAGGCTTCAATTAGCAGGTTAGAGGTCAAAGGTCAGGGCTTGTTTGGAGAGGTTGCAGGAGAAAACCTGTAAATCCAACATGGCAGCGAGACGTTCTGGAACAAAACCAGACTGAAGTACAGATGTTTACCCATAATGCACTGCAGTAAACATCTCACAGTTAACCTGTTAACCTTAAAACTTTACAAGTCATCAGTCAAACTAATGTTTTTTTTAAATAAAATAAGCTGTGATTTGAATCGTTGTGTAGTGTCAGCGTTTCGTTAGTGATGTGGCCAGTGTCAGGGTCTCTGTCCGTGTTTTCTGCTCCGGTTTTGTTTGATTTATAATTTATTTAAAGTACCTGTGACACGTCTGTCCTTCAAATACAAAAAAAAAAAAAAAAAAAAAAAAATCAAAGAAAACATCTTTATACTTAAGAAAATTGCCATAGTACAGATTATTTTACCCATTTTGTCACATAACTGGCCTATTTTCTTATGAAGTTGGCTCAGCCAAAGTGAAACAGGAAGTGACATCATTAATAAAATAAACTCACTGGTTTTTGTTTATTAAATCTAAATTATTTAAACTTCGTCTCTCTTTGATAGCGACTAAAAATAATGTAAAGAAACATCAGATTCTTCTCTACAGTCTGTTAACTGTTGTAGCAACGCTCTGTTTACATTCAGACACTTCCCTCTGACATCACTTCCTGTTTCTTCACAGGCAAATATCTCAGCAGCTGTTCATCTCAGAGGCGTGAAATTTCTTTTGCAACATGTTATCCATGTTATCTTTCCAAAAATGCATTCATGTTTATCACAAAAATGTGATGTCACAGGTCCTTTAAAGTTCAGTTTTTACAGACTCTACAGTCCTGTGGGCCTAATGGGTCATGACGGTGTGGGTGTGCCCGCCTCCATCAAACCCTGGCCCCCCTCTTGCTTCATGAAAAATATTGTTTGTTCACTTGTGGAGCGTTTTGCTGAAAGTTTTCAGAAAAACGTTCTGATTGGCCTTTTATGGAGTTATTTTTGAATATCTGCAGCTTTGCCCGTCAAATTAAAAGTCTTAAAGAATGTCGGCGTGTGGAGAAGCGGAACAACTTCCTGTCGGCCGGCTGAGTAACGATGCTTGTTTGCTGTTCCAAACAGGAAGTGGAGTCAGGCAGCGTCATGCCTCTGACTAACTCAGTCTGCTTTGTGTGAAATATGTCCACTCAGGTTGTTTTCAAGATATTTTTCTTTTTGTTTTAGCGGGCAGAGCTCAGTCATTCCAGCAAATCAGGAAGGTCTATTAAGCTATTTATTACTGTGCAAATATGTGTATAAGTGATAACATATCATTTTGAATATAAAACTTGTATAAAACATGGTAGTTTTATTAGAACATAACAATATGAACTTTTGTGTGGCTAAAAGTGCCCAAACATTAAATAACTGCATGATTGGTAATAATGCAGGTAAACTACTCCAACAAAATAAACAATCAGTGCAAACAATGCAAGTTATTTGTCGTCACAGTACACGTTTAGCACGTCCAAACCCCCAAACCTTTGTTAGTAAAATATCTTACTGTAATCCCGTGTGTTGGAGCTATAAGTGAGCAATATATTTATGTACATTTTGTATGAAACTTATTTTGACTTTATTAATAAATGAGGTAAACAAGAGCTTGAAATAACGTTATTGTTAAATTCAGACTTTATTTTGAAAGTGTTACTTCCTGTAAAACTTTGATCTCAGTAAAAAAAAAACGATTACAGCTAGCACAGATTAATACAGATTTTTATTACTGGAAATAATCTGGAAGAGATGCAGAAAATATTTTTTTTATTTTCTTTTTTGTATTTGCTTGAAACCCTTTTTATGAAACTTTTTAGATAACTGTTTTTTATTTTTTGCTGAATTCACAGTTTTTCTCTGCTGCCAGAACACCTGCAATATTTAAATCTGCAGATATTTATGATAAATAAAAAATAATAATAAAACTGACACATCCCTAAAACAGGTTTGGGGTTCAAACCAGGGGCGGTGCCAGAGGGGTGGCCAGGTGCCAAATGCCTCCCCTGGCACCTGATTGGCCACCTCAGGTGCCACCCCCAAATTATGAACAAGTGGGTGGAGATCTTGGATTTTGTTAAAGATTGTCCTTTGATACTTATGTACTACTTATTTTTAGCTACTTATAGTTAAAAATGGCTGAATTGTAGCCCTTTGTAAAATTAGGATTAGCATCAATGGTTAGTTTGATTTGGGATTAGCATCGACAAACAGCATATAGTTTACTCCACAGCAAATTTAATCTCATTAAGTCTTAAGATGAATTAAAGCTTTTTGGAATTAGCTGCGTCGGCCATTTTGAATTTTCAAAACCCAGAGTTTTCTTTATTTGTCCTCTAGACCAGTGATTCCCAACCAGGTAGGGGTACGCGAGCATATTACTGGGGATACCAAGGAAAAATTTCCCAGGTGTGCAAAAATAATAAAAATTCAAATAAGACTGAGATATGTAGGGTCCTATTATTTCCGCAATGTGGAAATCGCAGTCGGAATCTCAGAATTAACACAAAATGGAATCCAGTATAAAACGCAGACTAGAATTTGATTAACTGGGTGAGTTTCTGACAGATTCTGGACGCTGCTGCTTCCTGCACCTGCCATTACCTGGTTTACTTATTTAATTAAATAGTCATTTTCAAGGCAACATTTTTGTCTTTATGTTTAATTTGAGTTGAATAAAATAAAAGGCCTGAGATTTAAACATTGTAGGGGGTTAAATAAATAATTTTCATTAAATAGTCAGTTGTACATTATAGTTTTGGAGAATCATCATTACGTTTGACTGAAGGGGTACCAGTGGTATAAAATGGCTCAGGGGTACACAAGTCTAAAAAGGTTGGGAACCACTGGTCTAAAAGCCCCCCCTGTGCCAGCCCCTGTTTATCCTAGCTCCGCCCCTGGCTTTAACAGTAGTTCTGCCTGCTACATGTTCTGACCCAGGAGAAAAAACGACACTGAACCAAAACTTTTCCTCAGTTTCCAGTCAGCCTTGTCTCTCTGAGCTCCTGATTTTCCTCTTGGAGGTGGAGACCTGGTCCATCACCAGGTTCTGCATCCTTTTGTTTCTGTTCATCTTGTGAGCAGAAAGGACCGTGAGGCGTTTGAGGCCCGCCGGACTCTCCAGCGTCAGATAAAGATCGCACAGCTCCCCTCCCATCAGTTTACATTCTGCAGGACCCTAATTGTTCCCATCGTGCCCCGGGGCTCGACCCAAACCCCGTCCGATTGACTGAGACGATCCGAGCCGCAGGGAGCTCCGGTTCTCCTCCTCTGCAGGGAGGAGGTGCTGCAGGAGGAAGAGGGTGGGAGCTGTAAACAGCAGATAAGCCTGGATGGACAGATGGAGCAGAAACAGCATGTGGACAGGCGTTTCCTTCCGCCGACGCTCACAATCACACTGATGATGAGTTTAGTGGTGAACAATGAGGAGTCGAGGGGCGGGGCTCTGAGTTGAGGGGCGGGGCTTCAATGCTGTGACGTGTTGAAGACCGTCTGTGGGGCTCCACTGGGCAGGGTGAGAACTCCTAAATACCTTCAGGACATTTCAGCTCTGACTTCTGATACGTCATCATTTTATACTTTTTGAGATATTTAGCGTTTTCTGATATTTTTCATTCTTATAGAAAGTGAACGGATCTGTCTTTAACAGACTTAAAACACTTTTCTAAGGCTGTGATCCAGAGGCTGGGTCCTCTGAAGGCTGCATCTGAGGCTGTCCAAATTCAAAGACTCTCCTGGTGCATCCGACAAGTGTTTGCTTTGTCCCTGATTTGAGGGACGGTCCGATGGATCCTTCTCGGTCCACCATGTCCCATAATGCTTTGCGGGCAGACCACTTTTCTAAACAAACCCCTTGATATTGTCACTACCTACAAATATCTTGGAATTACTTTGGATTCTCATTTGACTTATCGTGATCATGTACAAGTCTTAACCACTAAGTTGAAACAGAAATTATACGTTTATTCAAAAATTCGATCCAATCTGACATCTTCTGTTTCAAATATCTATCTTCATGCCATTATACTCTCAACCATGTCGTACTGTTTACCTGTTTGGTCTCTTACAACAAATGAAATCTTAGAACCCATAGTTAGGCTCTACAACAGGGCCTACAAAATTCATAAAAAACTTCCTGGTTGGACTCATCACTGTACAGTTCTTTCATTGTCTGATGCCTTGACTTTTCAGAATTATGTTTTGTATAGTGGTATTAATTTATATTTTCAGATCTTCCAAGGTGCCAATTATGGAACACTCTGTGCATTGTTGCCCAAATCAAATTCTGGAAGTGGTCATTCAACTAGATCTGTTACAAAAGGACAACTGATATTACCAACTTTTAAAAACTGTTACGGCCAGAGGTCTTTCTTCTATGTTTATACTAAAGCATGGAATGACATTCCTCAAAACATAAAGTCCATTTCAAAACTACAGCCCTTTAAGAAGAATCTTGTCTGCCATCTGCTGGACACTTTTTGTTGTGCTCATATTTAGACGTCCTATTTTGCAAATGCTGCCTTCCTGAAATTTGGTATGCTTGTTTGTCTTTGTGTCTATGGTGTATAATGATGTGATTGTGATGCTGTAATTCTGAGTGTTTTATGTGCTGCAGAACAGGAACCTGCTGTAAAACAGAAATTATGCTGAGTCAGACTTGATTTTTAGTAATCTTTTCCTGATGAATCAATAAATCAAATCATTAAATAGTTTGTGTAACATCGGTAAATATCGGTTATCGGCCAGAACACCAATAATAATATTATCGGCTGAAATTTTCATATTGTTGCATCCCTGATTTTTAACCATGATGTGAACCTTCAGTAACTAAGTGTCCTACAGTGGTCTGTGGAGGAAAGGGTAACACTTTATAATAACTGCAACTTATTTAGCCTTAATGGTTAGTTAACCACAAAAACATGATTAATTAAGGATGATTCATACTTAATAAGCTAAAGCATGGTTTTTAACAAAAAGTTTAAAATTTTTATCGTTTTCCCTGCGAGCTAGCTATTTTGTTTTTCATCATGTAAATCTCAATATCCAAATATTATTTGATTTTTTTCTCTTTAAAATAACATCAAAAATATCTCATTAGAATAACCTAATAAATAAATAAGATTCAGATGAAATATCAATGGTTTGTCCTGATTAGGAAGACAAATCTAGCCGTATGTCTGGAACTAGGGGTGCAAATCAGCATCTTTATCATGAAACAGCATTTGATTTGTTTCCATGACGATGTTTATCGATATCACAAACTCTGTCATGATATGATTTTAATTCAGTTCACAAGCCTGCAAACGATGTGATGTAATATAATCCATCTAACACAAATGATTGTGTCACATCAACTTTATGATTATTATGGATCGATATTTTCATTTTGCTGTGATGTAATTAAATTATTAAATATTTAATTGATATATTGATGTGGATTTATGCATCGTTGCACCGCTATGTGGAACTGCTCATGATATCAGGATGATCCTGCTAATAATTCAATTCAATTCAAAAATTATTGATCTCAGAGGGAAATTAGGTATCACTATTAGGTTAAAATTAAATCCTAACAATTTGTTAGATTAACTAAATGAATTCTCATGAATAATATTGGTATATATTTGAGAAAAATTTTGTGAAATACTTTAATTGTGCTGTGATAAACTGTTCCTTCATTTTTCATTATACCAAAGAAGACAAAAGGGTTAAAACTGTTATTTACTTACGTATTACAGTATTACTGTAGTTGGTTTTACAGTAGTTTTACTGTAAAATGAAATACAGTAACTACTGTATGTAATTACAGTAAAAATACTGTAAAAATAAATTAGGTTTAAGGAGTTTAAAGAGCAGGAATCTGAAAATATGCTGAGGTCAGTTTGACCAAATTTACTTAATCCTCAGTGAAAGTGACGGGTCAGAAATAAAAAGTACACACTCAGACAGAAACAATACAACAGGAGAAATGATTAAATTTAGCGTTGGCAGCATGTGTGAGACGACATGTAAAGAACGTTAAGCAGAACCACAGGAGCTCTCAGGGAGGATCCTGGTTCTGCAGAGAGGGAATGTGGTTCTGCAGCTCAGAGCTCCTCCCTCTGCAGGAGGAGGGCTTGTGTTTCTGCCTGCCGTTATTACATCTTCACACCTGAGTGTGAGTCAGCAGGCCGGATAGAAATACACACTTGGTTTAGTGCGACACCGAGGTGACTCCGCTCTGTTTAATGTGGAAACAAAGTTTTCAGCTTCAGTTCCAGCAGCAAGTCTAGAAACAGCTGACTGCAGACAAACTTCACCTTCGAACAGAGTTCCTGCAGGTCCTTAAAGGGATCCATGATTAGTTGTAACATTAGACTTTATTTGATAAACATTTATTTTAACTGTAAAATAAAGACTGCAAAAATATTGTAGGCTGTTTAGTTTTGTATATTTTTTTAAATATATTTTATCATGGACGGAGCCTTTTTATTTACACACAAAGCATTCTGGGTAAATGATGACGTGGATAGGTCATTGGTGTGAGCGAGCTATATCCACCTTGAAGTTTAATCTTGGACAATATCTGATGATCGGCTCTTTTAAATGAAACCAGAGAGCGTTGACAGAGAGGAGAAGGTAGAAATGACTCAGCCTGTAATAGGGTTGGGCGATATTGGCAAAAAAATTAATCACGTTTAATTGTGGTGTTTAGCCGATAACGATTAATTTGACGATTAATCCCCTGGAGTCCCTGGACACCCTTATGTCCTGGTCACATGACCATTTCGCTCTTTGTAAAAATCTGTTCCAAACTGTGTCAAAATTACAGATTTGAGGCCATACATAAAA